TGTGCATCTGACGAGGGAACCTCCCGAGGTGATAAATCGCTTTTTGATCGACATCTAGTGGGTTATAGGTTATCGACCATGCTGATTCCGAATACGACCATGGGACTTCCCCATAGCTCGTCGAAGATCCAGTCTTCTGGAAAACCAGTTTTTCAAAACCTCCCAAAATAACCCCAGCCTTTCTTAACGATTTAGGATTGTAGCGTGCAAATTTCTAATTAAAACGAAACATCGCCCAGCTCTACACAATCTTTCTTTGCAAAGTTATAGAATTTATAAGAAGAGCCCTAAATTGTTCATTGTCAGCTCAAAGCTACAGAAATAAGAAGGAAAAAATTAATTTAGATTATTTATTTAAAAATGAACAAATTTTTAACAAAATCAAAATAGAAAATCTTATTTTCAGATGGTGGACCAAAAGATTTTCACTGTGAAGAATATTTATTTTTATTAAGTGAAATTGCTAATAATCATAAAAAAGAAATGAAAGTTAATTTTTTTGCAGAGCATCATGGCTGTAATGATTGTGATTCTGCTGCCGGTTTAGTTTCAACAGTAATAACAAAATTACAAATTGAAAGCAAAGAAGAATTTAATAGTGGAGAAAATATTTTTAACCATTTACTTAAAACGAAAAATACTGATTAGAAAATCAATGTATAAAATTCTACAATTAAAGTCCAAAACGAGAAATTACAGTTGAAAAATTAGCAAAGAAAGTAAAGAAGTGGGGAGAATGGAAAATACTTGGTATTGGACATTTTGAAATGAGAGAACTCTATTTATGAGGTGATAAGGACATCTAAAAGATAAAAAGAATAAAATAAAACATTTTTTAAATTAATTGTTTAGTCCTGATATTACTCGTTTTCTTACTTTTTTACAATTGTTATTATTTTTTGTAATCTTGTTATATATTATCTTATTAAAAAATTTACTAATTCTGGAAATCATATGCTTTCATTGGACGTGCTACGCTCGAGTCGTCTGGTCCATCCAAATCCGAATGGTTTTACGAAAAGTTTTTCTGAAAATTCTGTGGGGATCATCCGACGTTTTTGATAATATGCCCATTGGACAGGCCGTAGCCGGCTATTTCTGCAAATATTGAACTTTCATATTTCAATAAATCCTGAAAGGTTTTCTGGAGTTCTCTCCGAGAATCTTCGGCGACCCCTGAAGGTCCTCTGAAGACCTCGCGAATATACCCACTGGATGCACCACAGTTGATTACCTATGAATCTACTTTTTCTACGCATAATATTTCGCGCATTGTAGTAAACTGCAAATTGGATTAAAATTCGAAGGAAAAAGGTCTCTTAATCGGTCTAAATAAAAAAGACAGAGCAACTGTTTTTAAATTTCTCATTGTAACTTTGGACTCCTACAATAGTAATATATGAGGCTAAATTTTGAAAGAAATTCATGTTGTATATCAAAAGTTATAAGCAGCTCCATTGAGAGTGAAACAAAACGTTTTCTATAAATGAATTTTTTGTTTTTTTCTCTTTGTATCTTCTTTATCCCTAATTTTTCTTTCTTTCTCCTTCTCCTTTTTATTTGTCTTTCCACCCTGTTTTCTCTGTATTTTTTAAGTTATGAGTTTTTACTTGTCGTGGGCATTATAATGATTCGATTGCCCCCACGTTAAATAAACTACGTTTACATCAAGTGTAAATGAGTCATGTACTTTTCATTTACGAAAATTATGTTGGAAAAAACCCAGTTATAAGTTACAAGTGAATCTGAAAAAGATAAACTAATAACTGTTATATAGTATGTGTTTGGTCATGAAAAAATGATTTTTTTTTGTTTCATCGAATAATAAACAAATTTCACAATGGATTAGCACTTGCTTACAATTTCCAATAGATGGAACGAAAGAAAGTCAGAAAAAAACATTAAAATATGTTGTTCATTTTTCTGTTTTGTGCTTTCTATAGCGTTTGAAACCAAAAAGGAATAAAAACAAATTCAGTACAATTTCCTATCGGCACGATTCTTTTTACTCCTTCGTAATTACAATTTTTGGTAGTTACGTGGAGATATGGCTCTGAAGCTATCCATCTAACCAAACACCCGATTCATAAAGGTTTTCGGATGTGCTCTTTCTTAAAGGAAAATGATTTCTATAGATTCGGTGTCTAAAACCTTCGGAAAACCAGTTAGAAAATTTTTAAAATACTTCTTTAGAATTGACATGTTTGAAACATCTAGAAAATTGCTTTTGCTAACTTTTCAACACTTAAATTTCAAGTACGAAAATACGAGCTCATAGTTTGAAGGATATTGCTGTTTCTAGAAAAATCGAACAAATCTTCGCTAAAGCTAGTCGAAAGACATCAATAAACGCAATGTTTTACGGCTGGTCCGAAGCTCTGCCTAATTTTTGTCTAAATGCCTGAAGTATTGTACTTCCAGACCGAAATAATCTCGAAAACCCTTCGAAAGAACCATGCTTTTCGTAAAACCTATAACTTCACGCAGAAACATTTATGCATCTTAATGCAAGTTTTGTAGAGTGATCATCCGTAAATGAATATTTGCTAAAAATTTGGCTTTTGACACTTATTTCATCTATCACATGGTTCAGAAAAATACTTAGCGCAGAACGAGTAGGCATTTTCTAAAAGAGGAAAAACTCAAAGACAGTTTCCTCCTATGAACTGGTAGACCAAACGCTGACGGGGTCAGAATATAAGTTATATTTTTCGTTTATAACTCAATCCTCGTGCGACAAAAAATGCGAGTTCTCGTGAAAATAATTCACACGTTTAGAAACTCTGAGACTCCAGTTTCGCGGCCAGCTTAAACATCTGATATAGGTCTGAATTTGTTCATCAGTAAACTGGCCGTTTGCTAGCATATATAAGGCATCCCAGGTCGACCAAAACGGATATCCGTTACGGACCGTTTACTGGACGCAGGAATACGGACCGTAACATCATTAAAATAGGGTCGTATACGGCCGTATTTCACAGTATACGACCCCGTATTACAGTGCCCAGAAACGGTACCGTTTACAGGCCGTATATTGTGAAAATACGGCCGTATACGGCCCTATTTTAATGATGTTACGGTCCGTATTCCTGCGTCCAGTAGACCGTCCGTATATGGACCGTATCGTTCGACCTGGGATTATTTGAATTTTGAAAATATCACTTTCGTTTTTACATAATTTCCATGTGCTGTTCTCTGTGTGATGCGACGCAGATGATTTTTCGTAAAGACTCGCGACTCATGCATGCAACGTGTAGAAGTAAACTTTATGCAGTGTGTGGAGATGAATTTCGTATGTGTCTCACCAAAAGACTCTCATATGCAGCCGCACTAAAGTTAATAATATTCATAAAAATATTAAAAATCGTTCTCTCATTCGATTTGAGAAGATAAAGCTAACTAGTATATCTCACACAAAAGAAACCCTAATAATTGAGTTGAATTTTTAAAAATAACGTTTCAAAACAATCGAGTCATAACTCGAAACTGAACCAAAAACAAGATTGAAAACAAAATATTTACTCCGTTTCTAATTCCTATCGGCATGATTTATTATAACTTACTCAATTCATTCAATTGCCAAATAAACTGAGTGAAGCAATAAGTAACTATGACTTCAACAAGAGAGAAAATAAAAGGAAAACCAGATCAAACAGTTAACTTTTTTCTCCTACTTCCTTTTCTATTACTTATAAATTTCAAAAAGGTGTATTGCATCTCATTTGTTTCAAACAAATTTCATTTCTTCAAGACAATGCAAATTCTTCTTCTGCTCTTTGCTCTGTGCCTGCAATTTTTTGTCATAGAGAGTATACTGTCCGGATCAGCTAGCAGCATCATAACTAATCCTTCCAATACCATCACTTGCTTTACACAAGCATACACCACAACTGTCAATGGCAGCACCTCGGTCTATGCGTTTAATATAACAGTCGACAATATAACGTTTTCAAACCAAATGTGGGTGCCAAGCACCTATTGTGTCTTGCATCAAATCACTTACACTACCAACAATTCAGTGACAGTGCAGACTACTTGGACGGTTACGGCTGGTGTCAATCTATATTACAACACAGGTGTTAACAGGTAAAATGCCCTAAAACTCATTCCTTCTCCTCTTTCTCGTTGACAGGGATTTGCACATTTAGTAGACCGTTTATTCCTAAAGTTTAAGCTTCTACAAGTTTGCAGTTTGGCTTCGGCAAAGATTTTTTGGTTTTCAAAAGACCTCTCCGTTTGACGACTGGGCATGAGACTCAAATCCGAATCCTATTGAATGTATATCAGTTCCTAATGTTAGTTCCGAAAATGTAATTATAAGTTTTCGTAAATGTTAGTGTGCACGCCTTTCCAAAAATTTTTTGGAAAACTCATTTTCGACTAGTACGAAAAGAATGGCAGTGGAGCATCGTCAAATGATAAGTTTCATTGGTTTTTACCATCGTTACAGACCAAGAATGAACTTTACAAAAAATAGTGCGATTCTATACTGCCTTTTATGCTAACTAAAAACTCAGTATAAAATCACATTACGTCTCTAAAATTCATATTTCGGCCATGAAATATCATAGATTGCTGGAAAGGGTCTCATTTTGTAGTTCTTTCCATGCTCCGTCTTCGGCGACTCAAGTATAAATTTCACTAACTTTGGCTCTTACCAAAAGATTTTCTGAAAACTTGGAGTTTCCGAAAACTACTTCTTACTGTTTGGCAAAGTTTTTGATTACATTTTAAAATCAGAGCCAAGGCCCGATCTACGTCCACCACTTTTCAGTTTGTACCTTCCTGTTGCAAGAATTTACTAGCAAATACTTGGAAAACGAGAAAGTTTTACCTAACCTGCAGGGAAACGTTTTCTTTTGGATTGAATAGATCATCCAGCTAGGAAAGTTGCGACTTTCTACAACTTGTCCTTTCCTTAAAAAACATATTCTTATTCAAAACCACTATTTCTTCATCTTATACTTGCAAACCCTATTACTCCTGAAAGAGGGTATTCCAGAGCCGAACATTTTGCCAGAATCTAGTCGCATACAGGATAACGCGTAGTAAAAGTCAGCCAGATTCGTTCATGTCAATATCACTACCTGTCTTAACCTATCAGACAATGGCTTCTAATCTCTACTGCCCAATATACGTACAGTTTACCACTTGTATATATCTCAACTCTCCTTCTGTTCTTTACAGATGTGGGTTCAATCCTTCAATGGATATTGGCTATGGTAATTGCAGTATCTGGCCCTACGAACTTGCTGGCACGAACACATTTCTCTGCGTGTGTTCGACAAACAATTGTACCAATAGCATATCGTCCTGTATGTCATCTGTCGATCACACACGAGCAAACCCACCGGCTCGCCTACCGCTTGTCATACCAATCTTAACCACAAATATTAATTGCAATGGTCTTGGCAGTAAGTCTAAAAAGAAAAGTAAAAACTACTTTATTTTGCACTGAGTATATGAAAGTTCAGAGGCCGCTGTAATAAGCACAGTGGGCATTTTCTCATAGGGCAGGCGGCTTTTTTTCCCCGTTAACGTTTTTTGAATCCAAAAACATTTTTTTATAGGTTTTCGACTATGCTGAGTCTAATGGCGATGTCAGAAATTGAAAAGATCCTGTCGGTTTTCCAGAAAACCCCTGAAAA